TTAACACTTCTTTGTAATTTGTGGGTGAAAGAAGTATGGGGTGTAGTGACTGTCGGGTGAACTGATGCTTGAGAACTGTGTAAAGGCAACTTACTGTATCAGTTTTCTTTTACAAATAGTCTGATATTTATTAGTGCTTGTTACAGCATCAAAATTCAGGAGTATGATTTGGCTAAAATAAAAATTTTCTTAGACACCAAAGTAATTTAGCACACACATCATGACTACGATACATCATTACTTATCGAACTATATTAAGTCATTAGTTACTAGGTGTTACAGTGAATTAGAGATTCTCAGATGATTAGAAATACTATATATTTCTGGTGTAAGTTGATTGCTCTCTACTATGATTGTTGTTAGTGTACTGATGTAAATGAAATGTTTTGGATTTGGCACCTTATATACAAACTTAATATGCCCCTTAAAAATGAAGGAACAGATGTCTTCTTTAGGTTTCTTTTTACTAAGAAATCCAATCAAGGGTATGCAAAAAAGAAGAAAAAAAAAACCAACAAATTTTCCAGTGTGAGTAAGCCATAAGGTTTCCCTCTCTTTATGTGTGGCTTTTACATCATAGCTTTCATTACGAAGATTAGCTTGTGGTCAGTTTTTGAGCACCTGCTGGCTCTGTGAGATATTGTAGATGGCTGAATGAAGTTTCCTAATCATGTAAACAAGGTGTTGGGCTTTTTAGAGAAAGAAATGAGCACATGAACAGGAAAAAAAGAGGCACAAACACTGTATATTATGGGTCAATCATTTTTATTACACTAGTAAGTCACTTGACCATTTTTAATTTCTCAGATCGCTTGTCGATACAGTTACACAACAGAGAATATTTTGCCAAATTAGAATATCTGTCTGCTTATTTGTGGAGCATGTCTTTGGTTAAAGGTCTGAATGAAAATTAAGAACTAGCTCTTTTAATGATGCTATCAACATCCCTACAATCAGTACAGTATAAGTGAAATCAGACAGAATCGATATCTAACATTTAGCAACCTGTACACAAATGGAGTAATTTGGTTCTACTTGTGCTTTAGTGCCACTCCTCATCAATTAGGCAGAGGCCATTTGTCTATCTATAGTTCACATTTCTGAATGTTATAAACTTGTCAGTGTTTTCTCATACAAGCTTCTAAAATCAGATTATAGGTGAAAAGCATGACCCTTGATCCAACCGATTATTACATATAAATAAAATATACAGAATAATTACATCCAAAACACAGCATTGTAAAAGGCAATAATGCAGCAATTACAATCTCAATAACATTGTGTATATTTCATTGGGAAGTAAGGGGACAGACCGACAAAAAAAAAAAAAAAAAAAAAAAAAAAAAAAAAAACAGCAAAAGACATTAAAATTTCCTCTGCCACATACAGTATGTTTAGTCATCTGTAATTGTCTGAGCTTTTCATAAACCAATAACACATTTCAACAGGTACAGTCACTCCGTGATCTTCGTT